ACCCCCTGATTTGCCGTTCGCGCACTCTCTCTCTCTCTCTCTACTTCTCTTTCTTTGTGGAACCAAAGCACTGCTGATCCTCATCGCAAACCAAATGCGCTGCCGCTGGGAACTCATCGCAAGGCATCTTCTTCTTTCCTAAGCGGCCAAGGGCCCGGCTCTGCGGCGTTCATTGAAGAAAACCACCGGGAAGTAGTTCGTTCAAACCGCGAAGGGTTCGCACTTGCGTTCCCCACACAGACGAAGCCCTGTGTGCGGAAACAACCCAACATCTCCAACAACCAACCAATTCAATCATTTGATATGGCAACTGAAAGGCCAAAGAACTTGATGATTCATGATGATTCCTTGGATCTGCTCCTGCTCTTGTGCCTCTGTTACTACACATTGGGCTCAGTCACCTGATTTCAATCTGTTCCTTCATGCAACGAAGGTCCCTTGAGATGCCCCTTACGAGTTGCAATGCAAAAACCATTCAAGAAAAAACACAGTTCGTAGCAATTATCATCAACTGATACGATGGAAGCCAAGATTCCTACTCATGATTCCCGGAAATCGCCACACCGTTTGGGCTCTCCGTCGTCCCTCTCTCTCTCCGTCCAGGCGTCCGACATCGAAGATGCGGATCTTGGGGTCCGGCACGCCACGGCAGTAGCGGGTCTTGGGGTAGGGCTTGTTCTTGTTGTAGCGGTAGCACTTCGCAGGTCGTCGACCCATGAGAGGCGGAGCGTTGTTTGGCCCGGCTTCGGTGCGGCTTTAGGCCGGGGCAGATGGGTGGAGCACAGAGAAACTGCGGGGTCCGAGCGCAAGTGAAGTGGCCAAGGGGAGTCACAGCTCCAGGAAGGCCATGGTTCCAGCCTGACTGTGGAAGGTTCGCTCCTAAAACTCCATGTGCCTCACCCGTTTTTTCAACAGTTGGGCCACATCCAAATCTTCCAGTGAGGTTGGTGAGGTTGGTCAATGTATTTCATTATTGTTGCAACAAACTGTCCAGCTCATCCATCTTGTTGCCCTAGATGTGCAACAATGATTCGCTCCAAAAGGGAGCACTGAATTTGAAACCAAAGGACTACACTATTGGACAAACTAACCAGGATCCCAAACACTAACCAGTGAGTGTGGCCAAGTTTCGCCCCATGCATTTCCGCTGCTTCTTCATCTTCAGCAGTTTGCTGGCTGTGTGTTGCACCAAGCGCCGCTGGCAGCTCGCTTTCATCAACGGGTCGATGCCTTATACATTTACCCCCGACTCCGCCGCTCAGGGTGAACCACACCAGTTCCCCTGAAGCAAATTTAGCAATCAGAAATTCTATTCTATATAGATTCCAAGATGAGGAGGAAACAGGGGATATGTATATAATCTATACAATAATAAACATACGTCTGCATTCCACGTTAAATTCTATACTCCTACTTGTCGCGGTCTTTTTAGGGTGTCGAGTTTGAGCCCATTCGTTTCCTAATTAATCTGCTGGATGCGCCCAAATGGTTGCCACCCCAAAGAAGGGGAGCAAAAACACCAGTGGAAAAACCACTGGATGACGATGTTGCACTGTCCACCTTCACCTTCAACCACGGATTCCAACCAGTGGAACAACCACCACTGTACTGTTCGTGCTTGTTTAAACCGGTCGACTCTGACACACCCATGGACTCCACTTCGGAGCAAAGCACTCTCCCTCAGCGAGCCCCCACTACTCTGCCGGATGCACCGATGCACCGAAGCACCCGATATCACCCGATGCGACCGGCGATTTGGACCCGATGGGCGGTGAGTGAAAGCCTGGGACGACAGGAGTGCACCATGTAGTTCTCATACGTGATTCTCACGTGCGAGTTCTCCTATATCCAGCTTGTGAGGGATCGCCCACCTATCCCAGGGCTGACTGGTGATGACTGGGGTGGCAAGGCCTTTCTTCCATCCATCGCAGGAGCGAAACGACCGCCTCTCCGATGTGATGGAGGGACCTCTCCGTGTCTGCCGAGTTGCTTGGGAGCCTTTTGAAGGCTGACTTCCACTTGGATGCACCAGAAACACTCTCCTCAAACATTGACTCACGATTCGCGCCCACAAATCTGACAATGACAAAGCTGACAAAGGGGGTCACCTGTGAAGCCCTGCAAATCCAACCCTCTGGGGAGCTCGCATGTGTGTTGCACCTGATCAGCTACCAACACAGTCCTGCCCAAGGGAATAGCTTTCCTGTCTGACAGCGAGAAATATAGGGGGCTTAAACCGTTGGTGGGACGAGAGAAATCGAGATTCGGTTGACTTCCTGACCCGACCTGCCCACAAATTGATCCGGCACAATCGTGCACAACAAATCAACAGGGAGAAACCAAAAAAACATATGCTGATGTCGAGGTGGCAACCCCTAAGCTGCCCTAAGCTGGTGAAAGTGGAACCCATGGAAATGCAACCCTACTTACCCTCCTGAAAAAAAACATCGAGCCTACAAATTGATGGTTGGAAGCGCTTTGCCTGTTGGTTTTCTGTTGTAAACAAGAAGGTTTTCAGGATCCATGTTTATCTCTGTATTGAGGTCGTAAAGTCGTAAATCGACGAATCCTTCCTTCCACCCTCCAGCTCCTGCCTTGCCTTGGACTCCGATTCCCGTTTCCTCCAAGGCTCAGTCCCGTCGCTGATCTGGTGGCCCACGTCAATGGACGGTGCCTCGGATAGAGGGGGGCCTGACTCCCAGCACTGGGGCTGGTGAAAGCAAGGCCCAAACGATTCAGGGTGGTTTTGTACATATTGCATTTTATATTATACATTATCTATATAAATATCTACATGACTGGTGGTTTGGGGTGGTGAATGTAGGTCAAATGAAAACAGCCCAGCGATCGTGGGGGATAGGTTATAACACGGATATGTCACATATATTATATGTCTGTGGGCATCAGAAATCTATAGAAATCTCCTGGGGGTGTCCAGCAGAGCAAATCAATGTTACTCCTTGCCGGACAACACCAACAAACCAGTAATTCAGGAATGTATTTTGGATGTTTTAATATGTTTTAATATGTTTCTTCCGCATCGTTCTGCTTTCATGGTAGCCAGTCACTGTCATGTCTTTCTTGTCCCTCACCCATCCATCGCACCAGCCGCCCCTCTCAACAGGATCTATCATGGTCGAAGCACAGAATGGCGCCGGTGGAAGCGATCTTGCTTAGAGATCACCTATGGAAAAAAAGGCAAACAACAACTCCATCACCAACGGCAGAATGCGAAGCAATTACTTACTATTCATGTCAAAATTGTGTTTACTTACTTCATGTTGCTTCCAAGTCGTTTCTGAGCTGGTCTGAGCTCTAAAATGCCATACTTTGAACAGCTTCCAAACCTCCAGATATCCTCCTTGCATTACAAGCTCAACAAGTAGTTTTTCAACAGCTTCCAATAAGTAAACTACTTGCCATGCAAGAAACAGGCATTTTTAGGCCAAAGCACCACTGCTTCCGGACTCTTGCACCTCTCCTCGAGCTGGGAGCGAGAGCGAGGAGCTCGGAGCAAGCACCAAGCAAAGAACTTCAGAGACTGTTTTTGTAACTTATGATGACTTAGTTGCAGCTTGAACTTCTCTGAGTAGTGACTTAGATGACTTAAGGTTTCTGGTCGTTCGCACCCGGTGGTGTTTTTCCCGACCTGTCACGGGTGCCACACCCGTACGCCGTACTGCATGGATCCGGAGGTCCGGTCAAACGGTGTGTGAAGTAAACGGCCTTTCTCCCAAGCAAGTACGTGACCTGTGAAGTAAACAAGTGACCTGTATCCCTAGGGTTGGGAGGAAGGTGGTACGAACGGAATACAGGTGCCAGGAGGCCTGGTTGTGATCTGTGGGTACCCGACAGGGCTCTGAACGCTCCAGATCCCCAGGTTCGGTGGTTAGACCCCCCTGGCAGCCACCCCAACCACCGAACCTCAGGAGGTGGGCCACGAGCCCTAGGGGTAAGTCACAAGATCCTCCAGACATTGTAACAAAAACATGACATTTTGTCAGCAACCAGATGTAGCAATCCAGTGGCCAACCACGTCCTGGAGTTGTTCACCAACGGCCTTCATCCTTACCAGGGATCATAAGAGTCATATATTACAAACACGAGCCCACCCGGAGTGGACAACATACATCTCATCCCTCCAACAAAAAGACCGTAAAATAAACACGTGTGTTGCAGGTCATGCTGAAGAATCTGTAAAGAGGGTGTTCCATGCTGTTCCTCAATCTTCGTCACACACAAATTTGATCTGCTGAGAGAGAGAGAGAGAGAGAGAGCCTCTCCCCGGGTCCTCCGACAGAGTTCTGGACCCCCGACCTCCCTGACCTGGCTCACCATCTATTTCCCATCCAAGGCTCCTTCTTCTCTTCCGCCGGGCCGGCGCTGGGCGCCGGGCTGTTGCTGGGCGCCGGGCTGCGTCCCGGCGCCGGGCTCCCCCCCCGGCGCCGGGCTCTTGATGACGGGCGCCCCCGGCTGGCTGGGCATCAAGGTGACCCAGCGGGAGTCGGACAGGAGCTCGGAGGCTTCCATCTGAGCAAGCCTCGATCGAACGTCTGCGGACGGCAGGAGGGTGCGGAGGATCTGGAGGGGCTTGGGGGGTGTTCGGTTTGGGGGTGTGATGGTCCGTGGCGTCTGATGAAAACAAGCTGGCAAATAGTCTTGACCTCTTGAGCCTTTGAGGAGCACTATAGAACCAAGAGGTGTCCGGTTCATTCCAGTTCTAGGGCTTGAGCTCCAGTTATGCATCATCTGTCAGAGCAAGCCTGAAAAGCAATTTTCATTCTTAGCAGTGGCTCCAGGATAGAGATTTCCATTACAACACCTCACACTCTTCCCCTCTGAACATGCCCGAGGCTCTCCACAAAATGTTTCTTCTCCATATGATGTTGGTGCAGAATCGCCAAGAACCTGAGAGACCGTGCCAAACCGGACGTTCGACAAACATTCTGAACTTCTGACCCTACGATGCACTCAACATGTCTGAAGATATTCCTCCCCGTTTCTCTGCACGCCTGCAGTCTCAGTGCAAGTCCCGGGCACACCTGCACAACTGTACATCACACGGTGCCCAGTGGGTCTCACACCGACGCTTGCACTCTCATCCGATCCACTTGGACCGCGCCAAGTCCGAGGCCAAGAAGGCGACCCCAAAAACCGTCCTTCGCCTGGGCGACATGTGGGCCGGGTCTGGTGCGCCGTGTCTAGTCTCCCACATCGTCATCACCATAGAGTTGCTCCTCTTCGCTCCCATCGTCCCAGGTGCCTGGCAAGGTGTCTCGGAGACCCCAACGGGCGAGGTGAAGAGGTGCCCCCTGAACGAAATAAGGTGCCCCCTCAAAGAAGGGGTGTTCACATGTGTTCACCTTTTTTAAAAATTTCATTAAGTGGATGTAAGTGGTTTCGAGGGGCCTGCTCCCCAATATATAAGCGGTGAGACGCTGCCACCTCTGGATGATGGCGGGCGATCGAGAGAACAGCACCAAATTTGCACAGGATATTGGTTATGGACTTCAAAAGCTTTGTTCTTTCCGTTCTTTCATGTTCATTCGATTTCACCTTTCTCACCATCATTGTTGTCCACTTGGGTAACAAGAAAAAAGCCTGCAACACTAGTCCTGGTACCCATCTTGTCTCGTTTTGAGTCCCCCGCGGCCCCCTACTAAAGCACCTTTGCCTGGCCTGCGTGGGTGGAGGTCTCTGCCACCACCTCATGCACATCCTCCTTGACCTCAACCTCCTCATCTTCCTCTTCCGGCCGTTGCAGTAGTGCAGAGACCTCTGCGAAAAGTTCTCCCGCAGGTTGACGCACCAAGACGTGGACCTGCTCGTCATAGCCTCTGCTGCACGCACTGCCGCGTATTGAGTGTTGGGTTCGCGGATCTATGGCTGCAAAGCAACTCAAGTCGTCTTCAAAGGGGTGAATGTCCACTTCCGCCTTCTTTTTTCCCATGGTTGAACCATGTTTGACTTCCCGCTGCCGACCACAAACCTCTTACTTCTTGACATCTCCCCCATAAACGGGCCACAATTAGAAATAACAAGGGTACTGGGACGCTGTTCTCGAGACATCGCATCCGCAAACATCCGCAAACCACAGCCTGTAGGGATATGAGACAAACTTGTTGCTTAGCATCCAAGTGGTGGATATACTCCGGCGGCATGCTTGGGTCTGTTCGCTACCTGGCTTCTTCGGAGTGGCCCAAGAACGCTCAAACAGCAACACAACATCAAACAACCGGGAGGAACGGGCTTAGGAATGGTAAGAACCCACGGTCTCCGCCAAGTCACGTGTCTCATCGAAGTTCACCAAAATCACTGGTGTCCCACGGCGCAAGGCCTCCGCTGGCAGCTCGTTGGCAGGCGCCACGCGCAAGGTGCTTCCGACCTGATCCGCCCACGCCATGGGGAGGATGGGGATCAGTCTGTTGACCAACTGCATCCAACGGATGGTTCGGAGTCCGAGTCCGTGGATTAGGCACCTACAAACGAGTCGATCCTACTGCACCGGTGGGTCACGGTTGGCGGTGTTTGGCGGATTGTCCCGTATCTCTTGGCCATCAACATGACGCTGCCAGTTTCATTGAAGATGGATTTCTCGAAAATGCTTCTAGCTTTATGACAGCTTCCATCTCGCCCTTTTCGGTGTCTAACAACGCATGGACCGGTTCGGGGGCTTCGTCTCGGCTTCACCGGTGTCCAGGGCACCACGATCAGCAAATCAGCCTCACGGACCGCTGCACGAGCGCTCCTCAGCGAAGCGAGAACATCAGCCGCCATAGGACTGCCGATCAGGCGAGGGGTGGTGCAGGGGGGGTGTCAATGTAGGGTCAATGCGGCGGCATATATTCCATACATGGAGTGTATGATAGTGTACGGGCACCCTGGAAGTCCAAGACCCTGTTAAGAATGGCTGACCTGGTTTTGTAGCGTCGAGCCGAATCCTTGGTAAAACAATGGTTGTTCCGTTGTAAGGTCATTAAACCAATGTGTTGTTGGAGGCCTAGGGTGTATATATGATAGAAGAGTAAACAAATCCTTAGGAAACAGTGGGAAACATGGCCATCTTCTTCCAATAATATAAGTCTTATCAGGTGCCATTTCCGAAGGGACCAAACGATCCGACCTTCCCAAGGTTCCCGAAGCGCGCCCAAGGCTCTCCACCGCGCCCTCGGGCATCGACTGCTCGAACATCACCTGCAGGGGCACTGGCCAGGAAACGCAGCCCCGAAGGCAAGGACCCCCACATACAATATACACACGGCCACAACTTTTTTGGGGCTGACATTCAACATTCATTTATGTTGTTGAATTTCCAGGTGAGTCTGTGTAAGAATCCTTTGCTGGGCCCTCTCTCTCGATTTTTGAAAACCCCAAATCCACGTCACCGTTTCACTGCGCAACGGCGCCGAGCACTTGGGACACGTGGGCAGCAAGATCGTCGGTTCCACGTCCTCGAAGCGGATCGGTTCGAAGTCGCAAGCGCCATCACCGCAGGGCTGCGGGTTGAGACGGCTGCGTTGGTTAGCGCAAATCACCCGGCGCAGGTGGCCATGCAGTTCGTTCATCTGCAGGGCCAGGGATTGAAGAAAGACATGGACAAGACATGGGGGAGGATGAGTGATGAAGTTTGTGGAGGATGAATTTAGTTGCAGATGTCTGTGCCAACTTCATTCCAAAGGTTGTGAAAGAATGATTTCGAGTTTGTATAGTGCTGTGGCGTCAGTTCCGTCCCTAAGACCTACCATTATACCCATAGACTCCATGTATGCTATATGCCGATCAGTTGGGGTGGTTTGGGGGGTCAATGTAGGCATATATGGCATTCATGGAGTCTATGGGTTACATCGCACAACATGCAAACAAACATAAGAACGCGTTTCGCGGCGGCATGCTTCACTTGCCCAGACTCTAGCAGCACTGTCTTTCAAACAGGAGACATGGGAAAAAGACTTGGGAACACGCTATAAGCTGCTACAGGTGATGTTCTGGGAGGTTGGACGTATTGGTGCAGCATTCCCTGGAGAAACTCTTACATCCATTGGTTGAGGGCGCCTTGCTGTCTGGAACGCCTCCCTTCTGATGCAAGGAGTCAATGTTCTGAGTGATGACCCCATGGAGCTTCCCTTGCTGCTCCAGCATTCCAAAGAATTGATGCGCTGCATTCGGCTCTGCCTTCGACAGTTCCCCCATCAACTTCCGCTCCAACTGCCACCACTCGGCCTGCACCGTGGGATCGCGATTGAAGAGTCCCAGCGTCATACGCGTGGGGTCGAACTCAGCCCACAGCGCTTCACCTTTCTTGTCGGAGCTTCGAAACGGCGTGATGCCTGACTCCACTGAGATGCCAGCACCCGTGAGCGCCACGATGCGCGAGGATTTGCGGATCCAACGTGCCACTGACGCCGCGGTGTGGCCCTGAATGGTGGGGCGGGGGTAAAGCACTCCCAAGGCCCAATCATCCCGAACGCTGCGCTCGAAAGTGGTCTGCTTTGGTTCAAGTGCTGCATCCACGTGGCTTAGGCCGGAAGGGTCTCGGATTTCCAGGGTCAGCATTCCAGAATCACCCGATAGGACCTGTTTCAGGGACTCCTTTCAGGCCACGAAAAGTCAGGCATCAGGCATCAACAGCTGTTTGAGCCGCAGCAACTTACTATCATTCTGGGGCTCCAACATAAAGCAAAAACAAACAATGATTAGTTCACCATGTCCAGGTCCAAATTTAGTGTCCGTTGAAGTGAATGCACTTAAACAAATCTTAAACATGTTTTAAATTTATGTTGTTTTCTATTTTCTATCTATATTCGTAAACGGTGCCTGTTCCAAGCTGATGAGGAAATCATCGAAGCTCTTCCAGGTGTGTTCGGGGTATCGATGCTTGGCCTCCAAAATCTCCAAGCGCACACGCTCCAAGAAGAGCCGCAAGCTTCCTTCGAAGCCTTGATGCTGAAAGTGGCCCTGCTCCACATCAAGATCAGGGATTCCTCAGCGTGGTAGTAGGCAAATTGAGCATGGTAGTAGGAGAAATCGAAAGGATGTATTGTAAAATCACCGCATGGGTTTCCTACAAGAGGTGAGACAGGGTGACGTATTATATACTGTATACAGATTGCTTTGGGCTGGTGGGGGGGCAAAGGAAGTGAAACAAAGGGCTGCCCTGATCTAGTGACTCTAGTGGGTCGAACCGGAAAAACTGTTGGGGATCATTTCAAGAAGGGGCAAGGAAGTGAAACACCGGGCTGCCCTGATCTAGTGACTCTAGTGACTTGAGTTTCTGACTGGTGCTTAGTAGGGAAAAAGGGAATGAGCCCCCAATAGAGATTCTATTGGATCCAGCCACTCTCATTCCCTGCTTTCGTCGCACCAGTCAGGTTTGCTGTTTGCTCTTCCCCGCACCGGGCTTCGCCACAGCGATGCATTGGACATGGTGATCTCCGACTGCAGGTCCTTGGCCTCGAAGGTCACCAGGAGGTGACAGCCATGCGACGGCAGCTGCTGCAAGTAATCCCGAGCATCAAAGGTCGCCATGGCTCCGCGCGGACGGTTGGAGGTCCGACGCTGATCGTCCCGTGGTCCCGGATCTGTGGTCCGTTTGGTTCGGAGTGGCTGAGCACTGGTGGCTTAGCTCAGCGAATTGCTTCAGTGAAGTCATGGTGGCGGCCGTTTCGATATGTGGAGTCCTCTTCAAAGCCATTTCCTGCTGTCATCACAGCAAGACATGGCTCCAAGCACTGGAATCTCGGGGGGATGTCTTGGCATTGCCTTGCTAAGCACACTTAAGTACAGTAGTATCAGCATCTGCTCCAAAAAGGGGATACATTTCACACAGCGTCCGCGTCCGCGTCCGTCCACCTTTCCGGTCCAGGTCTTATTGATTACGGAGTTACGATACGCTACGAGTATGTCCCAAGCATTAGCACTGGTGCGTTTGGGCGTCTGACCTCCAGTATCATCCCAAACACCTTCTGCCACGGCACGTGGAAGTCGGTATTGACAAGCAATCGACATGGCTCGCAGCTTTTGCAGTAGCCATATGGTTGTGGACGCTCCTGGGTGAAGTGCTCGACATCCAAGCTGAGCATGCTCTGGACTTTGCTTGGGGTTCTTGTTGCATCAGCTCTGTTTCCCCTTAATCGCCTTAATCCTTTTGTGGTACCTCCATGTAAGCCCCCCAAAAAAACACCCGACAAACTCTGACAGTAGTTCTCAGGATCCTCCATTGGTCCACCAAACCGACTGTACCGACCCAAAGTTCTGCCGGGGCTCACGAAGATCCAGGCACCAAGGAGGGAGATGGGACGCCAATCGTAGAGGACGAGGCCATCATCTTTGGTCAATTCCACACTGCCATTCCAAAGGATAAAGAGCCTCAAGGCGGAACCACGAGTACTTATACTCATAACAGTAACTTTTATTAACCTGTATGTATATTAGTTGATATTAGTTGTATTATTTCAATCCGTGTCCTGAAACCAGATGTTGCTCAAACATGCTGAAACCAGTATGGAACAAAACCAGTATGGGGAATACATCTTGAGGAAATTTTCAGAATGGAGGACGGAATCCCCGGTGATGAGTCCATGATAGCAGCTGATAGCACATGTATTGACCACATAGTGCCAACTCACAAGTCTCCAGCAACTCGACCAGCACCGAGGCACATGTCGCAGCGGCCTCCTTTCTCCCATAAGTTCCTTGGAGAAGGTGGATGATAACGCGAATTAAAACGACATCCAGGGGAAAGGAAGTCTGCTTGATGAACATGGACGAAAACCCCTGTAACTCACAAGGCTTAGAAGAAATCATAGGGTTTGACACTTTGATCTGTAAATCAAACATCTGCTGGATCATCCTGTGACTCCCTACAATAAGTACAGTAAGCCCTTTCTCTTTCGAGGGTCTGATCTTCTGGATCATCCTGTGGCTGCTGTTTGGGGCTGATCAACAAAGGCCTGATCTAAAGGACAGTGAAACTAGAATGACCCAACCAGTTTATAAAATTAGTAAGCAGCCACTACGCAACAACATGACAAGGCTTTCCAAAGAAACACCTTAGCGTGTTGGATGCCCTTAGGTGTGAACCAAATGCCACCTGTCTTTGAGAGTCTTCCGTCTTTTTTGCCGACCAAGAGGCTCTCCTTCGTCCCAGGTCTTATGCTCACACTCCAAGACCAGCTCTTCCATGAAGCTTCCATGGCAGGGCGCCTCAGCCCCAGCCGAGGCTCTGGGCCCTACAGAAGCAAACAGTAATACACTCCTCACTAAATCATGGAAGTGGATGGCCCACCCCGTTTGTGAGAGGAACATCGTCTTCCCAAAGGCCATCGTCTTCCCGAAGGCCATGGAATGTGAGCCAAGATGTTGAATCCAAGAGCGCTTGGTGACCCAGCTGTTCGACAGGAGGGGTCCCAAGGCTGGTGAGCGGAGCGGAGCCCTCGACTGGAGGGTTCTTTTTGGTCGGACCTTCTGAAGATGTATATTCCCTGGAAGGTTCAGGACAGTTTATAGTTTATCTCTGACCGGCAGCGAAGTCGCGACGTACCGTACACAGCATAGCACTGTAGCACGTACACCAAGTTCAAGACAGTATAAAAAATGGTTGACATGGTTTTGTAGTGTGGAATCCTTAGTAAATCAATGCCGTTGCCAACTCCAGGGAGTTTTCCATGCTTCTATGAGTGTTCCTTCCAACAAAAATGCTGATGCTGGAATCGGTCCATCACCATGTAGGTCACCAATCAAAAAAGAAGCAACTAGCAACTAGCAACTGTTGCTATAGAGTCCTAAGGGCGGGGGAGCTGACACTCTTTTCGGAGAATGGACCCACGGCGAGTCTACTAGATATTGTCACGTCAGACTGGTGAGGTGCACACATGCCTGCCATGTGGCACACACTTCCTGCCAACAAGTCCACTATATAAACACCCCTTGGCGTGTGCAATGAATTGCAACCCCTGAGGGCCTAAAACCACAAGTAGTGGATGCCACACCTATTTTTGGGCACGCCCAAAAGAGCCCACGTCGCACGCCTCCGGAAAAAACACGATGAACCATTCCGAGGGGCAAAGTTGGGGCTCTTTAAGAGGGCGGATTGGACGTTGGCCATTCCACCCAGCTCCGTGAAGACATCCTTGACACCTGAAAAAGCGCCAAGTTCCGACGGGGCTTTTCGTACACGTTACGGAACAAGATGAACCATGATGTGGTTAACAGTATTGTGTATTAAACATGTGAATGTGATTGGGAAAGTCCCAAGCATGTGGCATATGATACTGCTGCCACATCTATCCTCCTGGCAAATACTGTCAATGGATTGCTGATGAAGGTGAAAGTACGACCAAAAGTCAATGCCAATGTAGAAACATTGTACATGTTTGAAACCAGTTCCTAGGCCCCCTCCATTTACAAGAGCCGTTCTTCACCTGACACTTCACCTCATCCATTAACCCGTGCCCAACTCCATCCAACTCGCCCAGATCAGTCAGTGATATGAGTATATGATATATATATATAGATATATATATATTTAAAATTATAATAGTCTAATAGTTCAAAAGCAGTGAATGATGATGATGATGATGATGATGAAGATGAGGATGAGGATGACGATGACGATGACGACGATGATGATGATGATGGCGGCAATTAAGGCCTTCACCAACATGGCAACGATCTCTTGCTGTCTTCCACAGGGAGAAAATAAGACCATTGGACGTATTCGAGATGAATTGAGATAGGGTGACAGGCAAGGCCAAAGCCCTTGCAATGAGGAAAACAGGCAAAGGCCTCTGGAGTCGTACCCTGGCATTCGACCTTGGCACGGCTTGATGGCAAAACCCAAAGAGGCGTTGAAGGCGTGCCAGTCAGGTTTTTAAGGGCAGAATGACAACCTTACGGGTGGGTGTCTCAGTTTGAGAAAGGAGCACTTAAACCTGGTAGGGAATATTCAAAGCTATTGTGCTGAGCAAGGACATTTCGCCGATCTGCCTGCAGAATCTCAATTGTAAAGGCTTCCCAATCATGAATTAAACATTGGACCGAGACTAACTCATCCTGCAGGTTTGGTATTCAAGCACGTGGTCCGATCAAGCTAAAGGCTGCTCGAATGGCTTGTCACTCTGTGCTGCAGGACACATTGCTGGAAACATGAAGCTGTCTTCATCTTTCCCACTCGGTTATATACTCATGTTACTCCGTTCAAACGCAAGGAACAGCCACAAATCCCCCCGAACTGGTCGCCGCTCGCCGAAGTGGTCGCCTTCCTTTTGCCTCTTTGGGGAGGTCGTTCCCCCCGGAGACCTCCATCGTTGCCAAGTGACAGGAGACTCCTTGGAGCACTCAAGATGGCTGACTTGAGCCTTGATACTACTGAATGTGAAGAAACTGTGGTTTTGTTCTGCGATCCATGCTGCATGGATCTCACACGAACGTCCTGATTTGGCATTGAGCCACATTTATGGCACAACTGAAGTTCTAGATGCACCGATGTGCGGAAAAGAATCGAACGACAATTGGCTGTCGGCCTGATCAGGTTCCAACCAAGTTGAACTCTTTCGCATTCTTGGGCACAGGAAGGAAGTGGAAAAGGCCTGATCAGGTTCCATTGCATCTCACCAAGGCACACAGGCCGTCGACACACCAAACGTTTTGAACCTTTACCGCCCATCATCCGCTATCCATCAAATATGATAGTGGATCAGTGGATGGATGAGAAAAGGATGAATGAACACAGTCTTCCTTAAGAACTTCATCACTCGTGCTTGTTGAAGGGGAGGGTATATCACTTGAAGTAATGGACCATCTGCACACTGGGCTGTCAAACCCTAAGAGCCTTGCCCATCCTTGCCCCACGGAGCAGCTTGCAGAGCTTTTCCTTTCATCGCAATCCGTCGGTGTGGCATTTGCCAGCAGCCATGTCTTGCGGAACGGTAGCATTGACCTGCGCAGGGGGTCCCCACGGAACGGAAAGCTCGAAGCCAAATGATGGGAACCATATCGAAGTCACATGACTGTATAAGACCATCCTAGAGTCCCAAAATTACAGCCTCTCAGCTTGCACAGCACTTAGTTCATCCAGTTCATCCACCTACTTCAGGGCCGAGCCGAGCTACAGCTAGGTCCAGCCAGGTGCTTTGCGGCGATGCCACTATTTGGGTCCCGAACACCACCTCTTGGTAGGATTGAACTTCCTAAGCTCTGGGAGTGAAAGACATTTGACAAACAAATGGTGAGGGCGTAAGCTACCAGCAAAAGGGAGCTTGGCTTTCACCTGCGAAATGCGCTGGGGCCAGCCAACGGCCCCTGCAGTCTAATGAGGCTTCGAAAGTTGATGACACCCGAGTCCCGAGGAAAGCAGGTGGTTTGCACTGGACCCCTCTTTGATTTCTCGGAGAAGCATGATCTAGACAGGGTGAGAACAAGGATGACGGCAGAACTTCCCCCATTTCGATGGCCAATTTCTGATCCTACTGACTTCGTGGATGGCCCAGTTTGCAATGACGATTCCCCTGGCCTTCGACTAGTCCACCACCAGCACCGAATTGGCCTTCATGCTCTGTCGCTTGGACTTCAAAGAGGCTCCTGAATGCTCAGGGTCATGGCACTGTCACTGCGACTTCTGGCCAATGATCAAGAAACTTCACTTGTATATATATATATATATTATAGATTATTATAATATGAACCCCATTGTATGCTCACTTTGACATCAACCAGTAGTTGAAGGAAAACAACTCCAGAAAACTCTCTTCTTGTTGCGTTTCGGACACC